GGTGTGTGAGGGGCGAGGGCAGAGCCTGGTGGGCGGGGGGCGGTGTGAGGGGCGAGGGCAGAGCCTGGTGGGCGGGGGCGACGACAGCACCTGTCACCCTCTGGGGCAGGGGCAGCTGGACTCCAGCTCCCCCCACCCCCCATTTTGTAGGGCTCAGCCCTGTCTCCGCCTCCAGGCAGCCGGGCGGCACCTGCGAGGGCGACCGTGGCCCCAGACGCGCCGCAGAGCACACACTCCTTCACGGACGGACTGAACACTGAACGACCCGCCTGAGTCTGTTGGCAGAGGAGCTGCCTTTGAGGTAGTGCTGCTCGGGCCGTGTGGCCCTGGTGCCAGCAGGGGGAGCCGGCGGGTCGGCCGGAGCGACACCCCTGTTCCAGGGGGACCTGTGCCCTGGTGGGGGGGGCGGGCTGCACTAGCTTTCCGGTCTGTTCTGAGCCCGCTCAGGGCCAGGAAGGCTGGCGTCCGTCCCCCACTACCGGGGGGGGGCTCCCCACCACCACCGGGGGGTCCCCAGCCTGTGGGCACAGCCAGCCACTTGCCGTGGGCCAGCCTGCCTTCAGTTTGCATTTGCAACCTCCTCCCCCGCACTTTCTTTCTCCGGCAAGTGTGGCGGTGGTTTTCTGGGGTGTTACTGAGCCCCCCTGGAAAGCACCCCGAGAAAAAAAGAGGCGACAATACTCACACCACCAGGAGCAAGGGGTAGTGCGCGGTGTCGGTGAAGGTCGCGGGCTTGAGGATCTGAACGGGCAAGCCTGGGCGGGAACAGAACGCAGGGCGGCTTGGGCTGGGAAGGGAGGTCCTTGGCTGGGTGCCCTCCCGGATGCATGCGACAAGGGCCCTCTGGAGGGGCACGGTGGTTCCCCCCCCCCCGGGCTGTCCCTGAGTCTTCTCTCCCTGCCTCTGCCTGCTGAGTGACCTTGGGCAAATCCTCCACAACCATCTTGGGCGTGGCCCAGAGGGAGAGGCTGAGAGCACTGTGTGTGTGTGTGTGTGTGTATGTGTGTAGGGGGTGGGGGGTCGCTGCAGAGGGGGGGCTCTGCTGGCCTGGCTGTGTGCAGGTTGGTGCCCGGGACCGGCTGCCTGTGGAGCCAGGGCTACGGGACAGCTGGAGGGTAAGGCGCACGGGCCCCTTCAGATATTGTCCTGGGCAGCGAGGGACCCGGTGTGGGCTAGAGGGGGGTTTCCTTCCCACTTTCTTCAGTAACCCCCAAAACATGCCTTCCTGCCCACGTCAGACATTGTTTACTGACGCTGACCATGACCCAGATCGGCAATTAAATTGGAATTAGGAGCTTTGTCAGTACGGTTACTCTGGACGCATCCCAGGCTCGGGTGGTCGGCTTAGCAGCCTGCTCTGACTGGCGTCTCATTACGGATTCTCCGATTCTTGCTGAATGTTAATGGCTTGCAAATCGGATCAATGGCCCAGGGACCAGCCAACAGGCAGGCATGGGACTTTATTGCCACAATATCCATAAACCATGGTCTGGGCTGCTCTGGACCGCTGAGAAGCCCGCGGGCAGACCTTGGCCATGACAGGCTGCGTACAGTGCAGGGAGCTCTTCCTGAAGACGGATCGCTCCCCTCAGGGTGGCCTTGGCCTCGGTGCCATTAGATGAAAAAGCAAAACATAACAAAACCAGACAGGTTGGTGGGGCCACTCCCTGCCCTGGACTGCACGCTCTCCTCCTGCGTGCCGGCCTAAAGCCCACTCCAAGGACCCGCTCCAGGTCCCACCTTCCTGGGAACCTTCATGTGACCCCAGTTCACGTTCATGCTCTGTTCTGAGCTCCTGGGCCATTTGCTTTCTGCTCTAAAGGATGCAGCTCGACCGTCTATACTGTTTGGGCCAGGCCGATCTTGTTTCCTGGGGGTGAGCCTTGGTCCCTGACCTCGGGAGATCACAGTCTGCTGTGTCTTCTCTAACAAGGGGGTGCTTAATAGTGCTCCCGGGCCCACTGGCCTAGGGGAGGAGCCAGTGCCCCCCTGTAAGGGAGTGGGTAGAGAAAGAGCTTCCAGTGATGGTCTAGGGCCACAAACACGGGCAGGCGTGCAACCCCTCTGCCCCCCGCCCCCCACAGTTCAAACATCATGCATCAATCTCCACACTCTCCCCCTGACCACTGGTGACCGTCTGCTCCTCTTCCACGAAGAGCTCTAGCCGTTACCGTCAGTCAGCCTGAGTTTTCCCGAGAGAGGAAACCCATGTACCAACCTCAGAGGTTATGTGTAGACGGACCCGAATGAATGACTCCAAGACACCTTCAAGGGGGAATCTAACTTAAGGGAGGGGTGCCATCCCCCAGAGTAGGCAAGGCTGGAGGGGGACAGAGCTTTGGGGGAAAGACAGGTATGTTTGGGGCATCGTGTACGTGGGGTTTCCAAAGGTAAACATCTGCTGGGTGGTTAGGATGCCAGGGCTGGCGGGGTCAACTAGGGGGCATCTGCAGAGAGGACTGAGCCTATGGGGACCCCACTTGGCCCTGGAGACATGAGAGCAAACACACCAGTCCTCCATTATATTATTTTTCCAGCTCCAAGGATACCCCCCTCGGCCCATGATCAGCACGGAGAGGTTAGACGGTGAACAGGAAAGGACTCTTTCTCTGGAGGGTGTCGTCACATGTTCCCCCCAAAGGAGAGAATTTCAGTCTGGGACCTTATTTAAATTGTCAGCCTCTTGAGGAGAGGATTTTTTTTTTTTTTTTTTTTTTATTGCCCAAGAAACATCTTGGTTCTCGGCACAATAAACTCAGTGCAAGAGTTTTCCCCCAAGAGCCCTGCCTGAATCTCTTCCGTGCTGGTTGGAATGCATTTTTAGCCACAAAGCCAGGCGGGTGTGGTGCGGGGGGGGGGGGGGGGGGGGGGGCTGGATGCACAGTAATCTACTGCTGATGGTCGGGCTGTTTCAGAGTAGATGGTTGCTTTCCGTGGGGACAAGGCAGGGGCGCCTGGGTGGCTCAGTCTGTTGAGCGAATGACCTTGATTTCGTCTTAGGTCATGACGTCACAGTTTGTGGGATCGAGCCCCACGCTGGGCTCTGCGCTGAGCGTGCAGAGCCTGTTTGGGATTCTCTCTCTCCCCCTCTTTGCCCTTCCCCTGCTTGTGTGCATGCTCTCATTCAAAGTAAATAAACTTAGAAAAAAACAGGGACACTGCAGTACTCACTGTAATCGTCAACCTCGATCTTCCTGTATTCTACTTTAGGCATCTGTCGGTCATACACGGCCTTCTTTACGTGTTCGTTTGTTTCTAGATCGAAAATTTCTAAGAGAGGGAAAGAAAAATGACACAGTCAGACCCAGCAATTGTTTACTGAAGCCAAGCGTTTTCGCGTGCATCAGACCACTGATTCCTACATCAGAATTGGAGGTGATGATTACTATCTCTTTTGCACAGACTAGGAAACTGAGACCTTAAATAACTTGTTGAAGTTACAGGACAAGGTGGAATGCCCAGTCTCAAGTCAGGAGTTTGGGAAGATGGAAGATTCTTCCCCATATTAGGCAACTCCTCCTCCCTATAAGTTGTCTTCTACAAGGCATTTCTCACTCACACGTATAGGTCTGGGTATGTTTTTTCCCAAGGCTGCTGGTTTTGGGAAGGCAACATCACCCATCTGTTAGGACAGGTGTTTCCAAATTTAGTGGCCACAATAACCACAGACGGAAAGGAGAGTAGAGGCTGGGGTAGGCTCTTTATTAACACGTGACAGGAAGAGTGGATTCGGATCTCTTACCTCCTCATACCGTGCTCTGACTCGGGACACCTTAACTTGGACGATCGTATTAGCTGGCAGTGATACGGTGCGGCGGGACCGGCCCTTTCCCCGCCACGTTAGAGAGAAGGGTCAGTCCTGTGCCGGCTCCTTACATGCGCCTGCACCCAGCGCCTATTTCCCCGGGGGCAAGGATGCTCTCGTCAGCCCGTTCACTAATCTCCGACTGGAATGGTCCTTCCTCCATCTGCTACATAATAAAAACCCCTGGATTTGACTTCCTTCTTCCTTTCTCACTCCAAGCCTACGTGTGGGGACACCTTGTGGCCCATCATGAAAGGAAATTTTGTCTTCAAGGAACTCCACCTTTGGAACCTCCATGAATATGTTAAGGAGTAAGTGCACACCCCATGCAGCGCTACAAGGAACGGGGAAACATCCCCGTAGGGACTCCCTTTAAGAACCACGGGCCCCGTAAGTGACACCTTTAGCGCAAAGGCACCTGAAGGAAAATATCGCCCAGAGCCAGGAGCCTCCAGCCCCGAGTGGTTTTGTCTGTGAACAGCAGGAGGCTACCGGTGATGCTCGGGGATCTGAGGGATTCTTCGAGAACGAGGCCACCAAGCTTCCGCAGGGCCCACTGGGCAGCCACAGTTCCAGCTGCTGGACACGTATTTGAACATTCAGCTTTGATGAAAAGGTGGGGGGGTGGGATGTGGCAAAACTCATTTTCAAGCAGGTAGAGTTAAAGGTAAAAAACTCTTCAGTTGGACCAACATCATGAAGCATTCTGAACACCGCGTGGCAGGCAAGAAATGGGGCCCCTTGTAAATTTTTTTTTTTTAGCATTTATTTATTTTAGAGAGACAGAGAGACAGAGTATGAGCAGGGGAGGGGCAGAGAGAGGGAGACACAGAATCTGAAACAGGCTCCAGGCTCCGGGCTGTCATCTGAGAGCCCGACGCGGGGCTTGAACTCACGAACCACAAAATCATGGTGAGCTGAAGTCGGCTGCTTAACCGACTGAGCCACCCAGGTGCCCCCAGTGGGGCTCCTTGTAGACAGCAGGTCAGGACGGCTATGTCTGCAAGGGATGTACAGTGAGGTCCAAGCACACTTGACCTCACCCGGAGATGTGGCTGAGGGATGGCACACTCTATCTTCTGGTCATGCACACAAGTCAGGGAAGGAGTACTGCCCCAGGGTGGCGGTGACCCCACTGCCCACCCCATGTCCACGGCCCGGACTCCTCATAGAGCCAACGGCGCACTCAGGTTTTGCTGAGTCTAAATGCCCTCAGCTCATTAACGGGATTGCAGGCAGTCAGTGGGGAGGAATTGGTTTGTGAGATATTGACTATTTCTTATCCGTATCCTAGTCTCAATAATAGGGCAGGAAGTCTAGAAGGCAGCTCTGCAGAATAAGGAGAAAAATAGCATTTTTCAAGTTCTTTGCTGCCACAGAAACTTGGACTTGCTGCTCCCGATCACGGAAATTTTTTTGCAGGCTCCTTCTCCATCAAACATCACCTCGTCAAGGAGAAGTCCATCTCAGCTACTACGCTTAACGTCAAGTGTGAGAGTGGAGGCCATTTGCCTGACTGTCATTCCCACCCTCCAACCCCCCAGGCTTCAGTGTGGGGTCCCATCCCATGGACAGAACGCGTAAGTTTCCAGTTGCCTGAGTAGATGTGGAAATCTGGTTCAGAGCGCGGGAATGGTGCACCCCCACAGGAGCGGAGTCTGGGTTTCTCCCCAGTCTTTCTCCCTGTTCCCACATGGCCCCTTTCCAGGGCCCCAGCTGGGAGGGACTGGGAGCCCCTTCTGGGTGCTTCGGAAGCCTGGGGGCTCCCAGGCGCTCCCGGCGTTTCAGGCCTGTCGAGGGGGTAGAGTTGATGCAACTGAAACCTTTCAATCATTGCTTCCAGCATGAAACAACCCACGACGAAACCAAAGCACACTTCCGTCGCACTGATGGGAACGCGTATGTACCTGAAGGGCTGCCGGCAGACACAGGTTACGCCGAGTTAATGCCGGGCTCGAGACTGAACTCACAGACGCTGGCCCAGACCTGCGCTCAGTGCGGGAGCCGGTGCACCGGTCCTTCTGGGGTCATCTAGAACCTCAGCCCTCAGGGAACCTCCCACCTCTCCCTCACTGTGTGCCCACAAAATGAGCCCAGGTGGAGGCAGATAAGGGGCCAGGGGTGTGCAAATGTGGGTCAAGCTGGACGAGGGGAATGAGCAGGCACACGAGTAGACCGTCTTTGCCAACAAGAACAAAGGCGGCCCGTTGCTATCAAGGGGCAGCACCACGCATTTACCTCCGGGGAGCAGGCAACAGCCTCAGCCGGGGAAGTCCGCTGGTGGCAAGGCCAGCCTGGACCACCAGAGTTCAAAACGCCAGAGCACCGAACGGAGCCTCTCTATCACGATGTGCCCCCCTCCCCGCGGGTATGCGTTTGAACCCCGTCTTTCTGGCATCACTCAGCAATGTCCAGTGCGGATCCTGGAGAAACTTCATCCCTAGCTTGCAGTGTCGCTTTGCTGCCTGCCCAGCTCAGCTCACCTGGACTCAGCGACAACACAGGCTCACCTCCGGAGCCGCCCATCCATTCCCGGACCCTGGAGCGCCGGCTTCGAGTGGGAGCGCACGACGACTGAACGGAACAGACTCTGCAGACTGCATCTGAATAGCTCGCCCTCTGTATCGAAATCCCACCCTTCGCAGAGGCACCAAAGCAACAGACTATTAAATTTAGTTAAATATTAGATTTCTCATTTAATGATTGCCCACACAACTGGTTTTATCAGCAGAGAGCTGGCTGGCCCACAGGGGAGTTGAGTTAAGCCATTTTATTTGTTCCCATAATTGCATTCAAAGAAGGCAGGAGCTCAGCAGAGGAAATAAGGGAAGATTGGCATGTTCCCAGAGGACTCTTCTTTTGACTTCAGGGCCATGGAGACCTCCAGTCTGGAGCATACAAATGGCCACTCCTTAATTAAATGTGAGCCCCCTCTAATATTTGGTGGAATTAGCTATTATCAGATCTGGACACAGTGAGACCACGGAAGCAAATGCCTGCTCATGGGGGCTGCCTCCCCGGCTGTGCCCCAGCGGGCAGATGTGAGTGGCCCGTGGGCTCTTCCCAGACTCTGCTGGTTCAGGGAAGCGGTGGGGGAATCACCACCGGGATGAGTTGGGGGAAATGTGACCAGAGTCAACGGTCACAGAGCAGAATCATTGGCTTCAGAGCAGAGGCCAACGGGGGACAGACCTGACGAGGCTGAGAGAGCCCGCCCCCCTTCTGGCATTTCTGCAGGAGGCGCATCAGCACCGCCCTGCCGCGTGGCCTCGGCGCCCTGCCTCGGGTCTCCTGTGCCTCTCGCCGCCCAGGCCTGGCCCCGCATACGGCCGATGGCTTCCTCAGGTGCACCCGCCCCAGGTCCGCCTGCGCAGGCTGACGCCACGCCGTCGCGCACGCTGTTTGGACTCCCTACTCACCTGGAGATCTCTGTTCTCTGAACACTGAATGTCTAGTCGTTAGAGTCAGGGTCACACAGCCGGGTAACGGCTGCCCTTTCTGCTCTGTGTCTTCAGCAGGATTGTAAGGAGCTCGGAGGCAGAGTCCCTGTGAGTGAATTGATCTCGGCCCCTCACAACCACCGGGGTCTTACCAGGCTGGCGAATGGGTTTAATCAGGAGGGGCTGTGTGTGGCCCCCCTCCACGATGAACTACACTGCCATTTAGCTTTGGGTGCAGCGGTGGGTGGGTGGCAGCGACCTTGGAGGGAGGGGGGAGGGGGAGGACGGCAAGGTGGGGCTGGAGGGCTCGCCGTGCGCGGTCTCCGACCGCCACATGCACGCTCGCCCACCAAACCTGCTGTATTTTGGTCTAAACTGACCCACCTGTGAATCTGATCACTCCGTCCCCGCACAGGCTGCCTGCGTGTGGAGCCCTGGGGGTCCAGGAGCCTTTCCGGACGCACAGACAACGAGGGTTTGACGGAATGAGTCATCCCACGGTTGGGGACGTCCGTCTCCCCTCTGACCAGCAGGCCGCGGCCGGCGGAAGAGGTGGTGGTCCGTGGCGGTTACTCAGGAAACCACGGAGAGTGGCCGGGTGGCTCCCAGGCGGCGAGGACCGTGTGAGCAGAGGCCAGGGCGCCAAGCGGCTGGTGTCTGGTACAGTCTCAGCGAAGGACCGTGTTGATGTCCGCTGCAGTGGGGGTTGGTTTTGCATCTTTATAAAAGCCCACGTGAGGAGAAAGAGAATCCTGTCCGTGAGTCTGGGCAGTCAGGTCTCTTGGGGTTCACCAGTACACAGTCAAGAATACACCGTGGGGGCGCCTGGGGGGCCCAGTCGGTTAGGCATCCGACCCCTGACTTCAGCTCAGGTCATGATCTCACGGTTTGGGAGTTCGAGCCCCGTGTCGGGCTCTGTGCTGGCAGCTCGGAGCTGCTTGGGATCCTCGGTCTCTCTGTCCCTCCCCCGCTTGTGCTCTCTTTCTCAAAAATAAGTAAATAAACTTAAAAAAAAAAAAACAATT